TTTAATGAAATGTAAATATATATATATGAACAGCTCATGAAATAGCAGCTTCTTCTCCAGACATAAATTGATCTGAAGGAATTGTTCTGGTCGAATGTATTTTTTTTTTCACAATCTTTGAAAGAAATCTGCTCGCAAGTTCGAGTCAGTCTGCGGTAAATGTTGCAGAAAGCAATGATTACTCTAGTACATAATTTACATATAATTATGAAGTCTCTTAGCAACAAATTTTTCAATTTACCGAAACTTTCAGCCTTCAACGATGAGTCTTTTGAAAGGAATTAACATCTAAAAACTGTGTAATAAAGTTGAAAAATGTGTTTTTCAGAGCGCTCTTCGATTACGACCCATCCAAGGACAGCGGCCTTCCAAGCAGGGGACTCGCCTTCAACTTGGGAGACGTGCTTCACGTCATCAACGCCAGTGACGACGAATGGTGGCAGGCGACCAAGATTCTTCCTGGCGGTCAAGAGGAAGGAAGGGGAATAGTCCCTTCAAAGAGAAGGTCAGTTTCCTCAAATACGCCATCTTGGGAGAAGACCGGTTCCATGTCTTTTCCTCTTCTCAGTTGTATAGCAATGTACTACAATATTTCTCCTTTTCGTATTTAATTATCTCAAATGGTTTTTAAAAATTCCACTTTTAGAACTATGTTCATTGCAGATTTAAGCATTGCAGTTTCCTAACTTAAAAGGTTTTAATCTATTTGAAAACCAAGACAGACACTGACGTACTTTCTTCTCATATGACTCTCCTCACGCTAAGGGTGAACGCAAGCGAAGTGTTGCCATACGTGAAGATTCTGCTCTATGCCACCTGTAGCCCATTTCGATCGCCAATGGATGGTGTTTTCAATATAAATGTCGACAACAACAATCTCGAGCTCGTGACCTGCTCTACTTCCGGTTAGAAAGTATACAACTGCTTACTACAGCTCATTCTGAGGAAATATTTTAGAAAAAAGAAATAAATTATGTAATTTCTGAGCTCACATTTGCTGTATTCTATAAGATATTAATGATATTAAACAGTTCTGATGAGTTTGAAGTGAAAATTAGTTTTGGTTATTTAGAGATGTATTGTTAAAAAAAGGTGGCATGGTTGCTAGATTCAGAAAGAACTCGCTTTTTTGGCTATTGTGATTTCGCCTCTTTTTACTCGTTTATGACTGTTTGTTGTTAGTGCAAGCCTTGCTTCATCATGCGTTAGTGTCAGCATATTGTTCGAGCAGCGAGATTAAGTTCATTTTGCAAATTATCATTTAGATTTAAATTTCGAAGTTGGTATAGTGTTAACAAGTGTTTTATAACGATTCTTTTTTTTTTCAAATGACAATTCTTACGTCTTGAAATGACAGGTTTTCAAATGATCATTTTTATAAAGATTCTTCTTTCAAGCGCAAATAATAAATCAAGTGACAAATACAAGAAATACTACTCAAGATAGTCTCAATACACAATGGATCAAGTTGTGAGCCAAATGTCTTCAGAACCCATAAAAAACAGTAACCTGGAAATATAAGCAGTCAAGAGCTTGCAGCGCTCCCTAGTGTAGAAAACACCAACCATGGGGCGGAAGAGAAACTCCTGATGGTGGGTAAAAATACCCTACAAAGTTCGGAGAGTTGATTCATTACAACGTGGGGTCGACAAGTTTTTTTTTTTTTTTTTTTTTTTTTTTTTTTTTTTTTTTTTTTTTTTNTTTTTTTTGTTAGTGGCTCATTTCTTTGACAAGCTATCGCTCCTCTCCCTTCTCAGAGTTCATACCCTCTTTTCTTTCTGTTCTAAAAGGGTAGTTAAAGGAGTTATCCTTATAAAAAATTAAATTTTATGGTAACTACTAATTATTCAGAAATTGTAAAAAGAATTTCGCCAGCAAAATTGACTTTTACGCAATGATTGAACTACTAGTAAGTATATGATAGTGGCGTGATTTTTAAAAACATAACTTAAAGACGGTGGATGTAACAAAAAAAAGTTGTCGAAGTATATGTATTCGGATGTCGTTATTTATTGTTACTTCATTCGTGTATTTTCTCTTTCAGGGTTGAAAGAAAGGAAAAGGCGAGGCTTAAGTCGGTTAAATTCCAAGGCAAGAGCAATGTTAATGATGGGAAGGTACATATTCCTCTATATTCCTGCAAATAACTTGAAACGAAAATTTTTTTTAAAAAATGCATCCTTTGCAAGTTTGGCCAAGTTCTATAAGAAGGAGGTCAATAAAAATGCTCGTGATGCATTGTTTGAAAGGACTTTTCAGGAGAAAACTATAGTTTTTTTTCCATTTATTAATTTTTACTATTCTGTTAATGGATGGTTGACTGAATGTAAACAAAGCTCTGTTTGTCATTCCGTAACACTGAGATTTATAATTATACGGTACCGTAAACCGGGGCGAGTCTACCCATTTTAGTTTTATTTAATTTTCACTATTTTAAATTGCAAATAAAAAAATTTTTACCGACGGAGTACTTAGTTCTGACTCTAAGGAAGATGGCGCTGTGGTAGTTTGATCCGTTTTTATTTATTTGGTGTCTTTTTAACCGACCTGTTCAAACGTCTTTTGAGAGATTTGTAATGAAAATCAGCAAACTTTTAGTTGGTGCTCCGTAAATATATTATTATTATTACTATTTTCACTTTGGTTAAGTGATAAACTTATCTAAGACTAAGATTACATTAATTTTATATGAAAAAAACCAAAAAGAATGTAAGTTTTGCTGTTGTAAACAAAAAGCCAGAATTCGCGGGGCGAGTCTACCCATTCGTATTTAGTTTTAATAAAGCATAATAATATAATTTAGAACTTTGTTTATATTAAAATTAAGTCATTTTAAATGAATTTGAGTATATTATTTTAATTCTGCATTGATAAATTTATCATTAATAAGAAAATTTATAGGTTAAATATAAATGTAAATATAAAATATGTTTATTTTACCTATTTTTTCAATTTTTATATTACAAAATTAACTTTTTTTATTTAATGCAAGTTAAATAAATTATTATTTATAAATTATTATTACCTCCCAAAAGAATGGGAAAAGGATTTTTCATGATTCCCAATGTTTGAATTTCGATTTTGTTAATAATCTTTAATTATTATTATTTATTAATTATTTAATTGTAAATTTATATTAATTTTAATTTATTTTTATCAACAATAATCAGAAAAAAATGTTATTTTATAATGTTAATGATTATAAAAACAAAACTGTGATCAAAATGTGATAATCGATCAAATACTCAATTTGTGTTATTTTATGAATAAAAAAATGGAATATATAATAAAGTTATGAATTTTACTTCCAAAATATCCTATATAGTTACTAAAATAACAATTTAATAGTAAAATTTGATTATTTACAATGTTGACATTCATTTTAGTCGAATGGGTAGACTCGCCCCATACGAGAGATTTGTCAGCAGTTCTATAAAAATATACAGTAACAGCGTAACTGTTAATATTTTCTCAAATCGATTTCACAGCTCTAAAGAGGGATAAATAGCAATTCCAAAACACCTATTAAAAGTCTTTTTTCTTTAATATTTACAAAAGTTTGACCACTTGAAAGTTGACAAACTGAAAAAATGGGTAGACTCGCCCCGGTTTACGGTATATATGTTACCGGTAAGTATGAAATCCGGCATTGTATAGAATGACTAGGCATTGTATAGAATGCCTAAAATTAGCCGGCAAAGTATGAAATGATTTATATTTCACAGATTTGCCAAATGAGAAACCGGCAAAGTATAAAATACATCTCCGATTCGTTTCAAATATCACCACTTGGCAAGGCTCGTGACTTTTGACGAATAACAAAAATTATTTTTTTACTATGCTACATGGAAATGGAGGAATTTAATGAAATTTACATGGAAAAATTTAATGAAATGTAATTCAAAATGTCATTCAAGCCTGCCATATTGCAACCATGTCGTATTTTATATGAAAATTTTGTTTCCCTTAATAAGAAAGGCCTACATTTTGTTTTACATAACTTTTTAATTTTCTTTCCACATTTTGAATAAATGTTTTTCAATGGCACTCTCAGTATTTTTTCAGAATAATATTTTTATTTTTGAGAAATGCATGTTACTGTGATTGACCGAAATCGGTAGTTTTACATTTATTCGATATTTTAATACTTCCTGACGATAGATTAGAAGAAGCACATCAGTGTAGGGTATACGGGGCAGTGGCACTTGACCTTAAAAAAACATCAGTGTAAGGTATACCGGGCAATGACACTTAACTAGAACTAGAATGATAGGACCTTTGGTACATGTCCGAAATATATACTAGGTCTAGTTAAGCGCCATTGCACGGTATACATTTTCCCGGTATCCCTTACACTGATATTTTTTTTAAGGTTAAGTGCCACTGCCTACGCTACACTGATGTTTTTTTTAAGGTCAATTGCCATTGCCTGATACTCCAAACACTGATGTTTCTTCGAATCTATCGTCAGTAAGTATTAAAATATCGAATAAATGCAATTATATCCTAGAATAAATTAAGTATCAAATCGGATGTAATAAATATTTCGGACATTCACCAAAGAGACTATGTGATTGTCAACATTCACCGGTGAAAGTCAATAACCACCGGTGAAAGTCAACAACATACACATCATTTACATAATAACCTCATCAGGACGTTTATTTCATACTTTGCCTAAATAGCATCCGGCATTGTATAGATTGCCTAGGCATTCTATACAATGCCTAGGCAAAATATGAAATACTTCTCACATTTCATACTTTGCCTGAAAACGTCAAGTATTCTATACAATTCCTAGTCATTCTATACAATGCCGGCGTTTCATACTTTGTCTGTAACATATATATGATGATGCATATAACAATCTCAGTAAAGTTATCTTTAATATACAATATAAAGTAAGAATGCATAGATACAATATATTTCTTAAAACGAGATTAGTTTGTTAACGATGCAAACGCGAAGAACAATGAAAATATTGAGTCGAACTAGACTTAAAAAATGCGAAACGTTTAGAAAGTAAATGTTATGAAATTATTTAATACTGTTCACAGATACTTAAGAATTAAAATTATTATACAATTGAAAATGAACAAACCTGTTTTAACGGCGAACTATTGTTTTGGCATGGCGGTGTGGAAACTGGGGATATCAAAAGTGTGCCAACATTTTCAGAAGGGAAAATTAACTTATTTGTTGTGAAAAATGCGGTGATTTAACTATACCTTTTAAATTGGCGATGAAAGCTTGAAATAAAGTGTTTTGGATTATTCAACATCAAACTATATTACATCACAGTATGTATAGTCTCTGGCTAAATTATTAGACGCGCTATAAGATTCTGTGTAAAATCTTAATTATTTGGTGATGCTATTCACCTTTATTGTTTTTGCGTGGCTGAAACTGATTTGCACTTGTTTACGCTATTGAAACACCACAGCGCGTCTCATAATTTGATCTAATTATTATAATATAATAAATATTCTATATTTACATAATATGTCGTCTAATTTGTCCAATCGTCGAATTTATATTAAATATAGTCTAATTTGTCTAATTGATACAGAATCATAAACAAGTGCAAATAGTGTCGTAAAAGCAATAAAGCTGTATAGAGTAGGGGAGAGTGGGGTCAATTGTAACATTTTTTACTTAACTATTTTTAACTAACAAAAAATCCATGTGGTTATCAGGAAAGTACGACAGACGA